GGGGTGGGTGTTTCCCCTCCCTCTGGAGCACATCGGGGGGTGGGGAGTTGGGGTGGTGGCGGCAGCAGCAGCAGCAGTGAAGTCACGGGTCCCAGGGTGGGAGAGGGGATGGTTTTAATGTGACATGAGTGGGTAAAATGGGTCAAAATGGGACAAGTGGTGCCTCAGCCCGGCTGGCAGCTCCCTGGGGGTCACTGTGGGGCTCAGCACTGCTCGGTCTTGGGCTTTTTTTATTTATTATTTGGAAACCAGGAGATTGTCGAGCTGGGTGAGTGCTGCTGTCTCCCTGCTGTGGTAGAGGTGAGGACCCACCTTGGTGGGGCTTTTTTGGGTGTCTGAGGGATTCCAGGAGGCTCTGCAGACACAAAGCCCATTGAGACCCCCTCCCCCAATCCCCTCAAGACCCCCAGATCCCTTGGGGATGGCACCAGGAGTCACCTGGAGCCCATTTCCCACAGGCTTCCATCCAAGCAGCAGTGCACGAAGCTGTGCTGTGTGGCTGAGGGGCACTGGGAGAGGATTTTTTTTGGGGAAAAACTGCCTTGTTTGAAACATTTAACTCCTAAAATAAGCGGGAGTGGCAGAGATGGACCCGTCTGTGTCCGGTTATGAAACCGGGGAGGGATGCAGGTCAGGGCTCGCTGTCGAGGGCTGGGCGCGGTGGCGGATGTGGGAGGGAGGCCCCAGGGAGGGCTGGCCCACGGGATCGCGGTGACTTCCCCTGCCTGCACTTCCGCACGCTGTGGCAGAGCCCGAACCTCCTGGCAACCAAGGGGAGGGTCTCAGGGGGCTGGGGGAGCTGCTGTGTGTCCTCCTTCCACCCTGGTTCGGCTCCATCAGTGCCTGCTCCCAAATGGGGAAGCTCTAAGGATGGATGAGCTGTGCCATTCACTGCAGATCCCATTAGGTTCCAGAGTGAACGTGCTGCATCCTACTCCTCCTTCCCCACCTAGGGAGGTCTTCACTGAATGATGGGGCTGATGCATCTCTTTTCCCAGCTCTGGTGTCCGACTCCTGCATCCCAGGTAGGCATCCCCCAAATTTCCCCCCTGCTGTTCACCCTCTGTGCTTGGGTTTCTTTCGCTATCACTCAGCAGTGGCTCACTTGGGGAGTGTGGTTTCCGTGGGCGCACCAGGGTTTGCTCTGGTCCTGTGCCATTTTTGGGGCAGGGGAAAGGCTTCAGCGTGACTTGTGGGTGTTTTATTTTGGAAGGGGTGATGCAAGTGCTGGAAACGTTTGTTCCTGGGGCTTGTTTCACTCCCAAGGGCACCCCAAACCATGCCAGGAGCACGATGCTGAGGCGTGGGCAGGGATGCTGGGGCGGGCATTGCCCAACCCATTTTTGGTTTTGCCAGCAGCTGCTCGATCCCCGCTGATCCCCCCTTCTCCCCTCCACAGGATCCTTTCCCCACTGCCGGGAATGAGGGGCTCTCCTGCCCATCGGCTCTCAGCCTCGCTCGCTGCAGGTGTGTATCTCTTACATGCAGTGGCTTGAGCCACTGTTTCAAGCCTCACTTGAGGTCAAAATGCTCCTTCCCAGCAAACTTTGGGGAAGCAGGTGAGGAAAACCCTGCTGGGGATGAGCTTGGGGCTGCAGGTGAGCACCCCAGAGCTGTACGTCCCTGGAACAAATCCCGCTGAGCTCCTGGGGCTGAGACCCACCACAGGGCAGTTCCTGCTCTCTTAATTTCATTTTCCCCCTTTTTCTGCTGACAGGAGAGGTTTCACGCCGGCGATTGGCAGCTGAGCAGCACGCTGCCCGCTATGGCCGGTGAGTGCGGGTTTTAGGGGCAGGGGTGGTTTTTGGGGGATCAGGATGAATCACAGAGTCCCAGAACGTGAGGGATTGGAAGGGACCTCCAAAGCTCATCCAGTCCAATCCCCCTGCCGGAGCAGGAACACCCAGATGAGGTTACACAGGAAGGCGTCCAGGCGGGTTTTGAATGTCTGCAGAGAAGGAGACTCCACAACCTCTCTGGGCAGCCTGGGCCAGTGCTCTGTCACCCTCACTGAGAAGAAGTTTCTTCTCCAATTGAAGTGGAACCTCCTGCGATGAGCTCCTGCGTGGTGGTTTCTATCTGGAAGCGTCCTGTGGAGCCCCTTGGGAAGGCCAGGGGGGTGTGGAGCCTCCCCCAAACCTCACTGCGATCTCTTTTTCTCCCTCCTTAGGCTGGTTTAGGAGGCTCCTGCACAAGCCCAAGTCCAGCTCGGTGGAGAGCAGCCTCAACAGCGGCTGCTCTGCTTCATCCTCCCCCTCCTCATCCTCATCGGAGAGCACCAGCCCCTCTCCCAGCATGAGCCTGGTCAGATCCATCCGCCCGTCGCCCGTCGTGACATCGGACATCACCTCCTCGGACAGCGCCCGCTGGGCCAAGAGCTACGACGTCTGCATCTGCCACAGCGAGGTGGACCTGGCGCTGGTGGAGGAGCTGGTGTCCTACCTGGAAGGTCAACCCGAAAGCTTCCGCTGCTTCCTGCAGTGGCGGGACGCCACGCCGGGGAGCGCGGTGGTGACGGAGCTGTGCGACGCGGTGCAGAACAGTCACTGCTGGGTGATGCTCATCACCCCCGGCTTCCTCCGCGACCCCTGGTGCAAGTACCAGATGCACCAGGCGCTGGCCGAAGCCCCCCTGGCCAACGGGCGAACCATCCCGGTGCTGAAGGACGTGGAGAGGAAGGATTATCCCAAGGAGCTGAGAAACCTCTACTACATCTCCATGGTGCTGAAGGAGACGAGCTTCAGGCAGATCAGGGACACCGTTGTGCGCTGTGAGTGTTGTGCTGGGGGTGTAGAGACAACGGGAAAGGACCGGATTCTGTGAATTTATTGAAAATGTGATATTTTTTAGATGAATTTGGTTCCTAATGGGGCTTGTCTGCTGCCTCCGCAGACCTCCAGGAGCTGTGCCGGAGCTCCACGAGCAGGACGCAATAGCACAGAGGTGTCCCCGTGCGTGTTTCGGAGCTGCCACCTCTGATCTGGATGCAGCCACGTCCTGATGGACCTTGAGGGTGAATCCAGGCTGAAGAGGGGGAGATCCCCTCACCCACGAGAGGACAGCGCTGTGGAGCCTGCCATGTCCCGGTGATGTTGCCGCCACCCCAGTGTGACCAGAAGCTGTTCGTTCAGTGTGACGAGAAGCTGTTCGTTGGGGACGAGGCCGTCCTCCAGCCGGTCCCTGCTGCTCTCATGCAAACACTAAGCTCTGGGGGTCGTCTTATGGTGCTGTCCCCCCAGGTTCTGGGGGGCTCAGGCCCCTCCCCAGACCCCCAAGAAAATGACAGGGTGCCTGCCCCACAGTGGAGGGGAGGGGCAGGTGCCAGTGATGTCTTTGCACGAGTTGGGAGTGTAAAAATGCAGAGATTTCGAATTTTGGGGTTTGTTTTGTTTTATTAATCCCCTGCTTTGTGGGGCTGGAAGGGGCTCTGGGGGTGAGGGATCCCAAATAGGGGGGTTCGGGGCCCCCCCAAGCCGCCAGGGGGCGCTCGCTCCTCGCAGCGCCGAGTCCGGCTCCTTTCGGCGGCGTCGCGCAGGCGCAGT